GACCCCAAAAGCCAGGCAGGAAAACACACCGACGCTTCATCAGAGGCTGCACTGAGGATGTTACCAAGCATGGTACGAAACATCTGCTGAACAACAAACCAGCTCAGCGAGCCAACCAACCTCAACATCCACAACCCGAGCTACAAATCTACTCCAAATGTTAGGAGCTTAGATGGAGCAGAATGTGTAAGGAGCATCCAGGAGGGTTTTCTAGAGCAGTATGTAAATAGTCCAACTCGGGAAGGGGCCAAATTGGACCTGGTGTTGGGGAACGAGCCCGGCCAGGTGGTTGAAGTTTCAGTAGGGGATTACTTTGGGAATAGTGATCACAATTCCGTAAGTTTTAGAATACTGATGGACAAAGACGAGAGTGGTCCTAAAGGAAGAGTGCTGAATTGGGGGAAGGCCAACTATAGCAAAATTCGGCAGGAGCTGGGGAATGTGGATTGGGAGCAGCTGTTTGAGGGTAAATCCACATTTGATATGTGGGAGGCTTTTAGAGAGAAGTTGATTAGAGTGCAGGACAGACATGTCCCTGTGAAAATGAGGGATAGAAAGGGCAAGATTAGGGAACCATGGATGACAGGTGAAATTGTGAGACGAGCAAAGAGGAAAAAGGAAGCATACATAAGGTCTAGGCGACTGAAAACAGACGAAGCTTTGGAAGAATATCGGGAAAGTAGGACCAATCTCAAACGAGGAATTAAGAAGGCTAAAAGGGGTCATGAAATATCTTTAGCAAACAGGGTTAAGGAAAATCCCAAAGCCTTTTATTCATACATAAGGAGCAAAAGGGTAACTAGAGAAAGGGTTGGCCCAATCAAGGACAAAGGAGGGAAGTTATGCGAGAAGTCAGAGAAAATGAGCGAGATTCTTACTGAGTACTTTGCGTCGGTATTCACTGAGGAGAGGGACATGACGGATGTTGAGGTTAGGGACAGATGTTTGATTACTCTAGGTCAAGTCAGCATAAGGGAGGGGGAGTGTTGAGTATTCTAAAAGGCATTAGAGTGGACAAGTCCCCAGGTCCAGATGGGATCTATCCCAGGTTAATGAGGGAAGCGAGACAGGAAATAGCTGGGGCCTTAACAGATATCTTTGCAGCATCCTTGAGCACGGGTGAGGTCCCGGAGAACTAGAGAATTGCTAATGTTGTCTCCTTGTTTAAGAAGGGTAGCAAGGATAATCCAGGAAATTATAGACCGGTGAGCCTGACGTCAGTGGTGGGGAAGCTGCTGGAGAAGATACTGAGGGATAGGATCTATTTACATTTGGAAGAAAATGGGCTTATTAGTGATAGGCAGCATGGTTTTGTGCAGGGATGGTCATGTCTTACCAACTTGATAGAATTCTTTGAGGAAGTGACAAAGTTGATAGATGAGGGAAGGGCTGTAGATGTCATATACGTGGACTTCAGTAAGGTGTTTGATAAGGTTGCCCATGGTAGGCTGAAGTCGCATGGGGTCCAGGGTGTGCGAGCTAGATGGATAGAGAACTGGCTGGGCAACAGGAGACAGAGAGTTGTAGTCGAAGGGAGTTTCTCAAAATGGAGAACTGTGACCAGTAGTGTTCCACAGGGATCCATGTTGGGACCGCTGTTGTTTGTGATAAACATAAATGATCGAGAGGAAGGTATAGATGGTCTGATTAGCAAGTTTGCAGATGACACTAAGATTGGTGTACTAGTAGATCGTGAAGGGAACTGTCGGAGAATGCAGCAGAATATAGATAGATTAGAGAGTTGGGCGGAGAAATGGCAGATGGAATTCAATCCAGGCAAATGCGAGGTGATGCATTTTGGAAGATCCAATTCAAGAGCGAACTATACGGTAAATGGAAAAGCCCTGGGGAAAATTGATGCACAGAGAGATCTCGGTGTTCAGGTCCAGTGTGCCCTGAAGGTGGCAACGCAGGTCGATAGAGTGGTCAAGAAGGCATACGGCATGCTTTCATTCATCGGACGGGGTATCGAGTACAAGAGTTGGCAGGTCATGTTACAGTTGTATAGGACTTTGGTTCAACCACATTTGGAATACTGCGTACAGTTCTGGTCGCCACATCACCAAAAGGATGTGGATGCTTTGGAGAGAGTGCAGACGAGGTTCACCAGGATGTTGCCTGATATGGAGGGCGCTAGCTATGAAGAGAGGTTGAGTAGATTAGGATTATTTATATTAGAAAGATGGAGGTTGAGGGGGGACCTGATTGAGGTCTATAAAATCATGAGCGGTATAGACAGGGTGGATAGCAAGAAGCTTTTTCCCCAGAGTGGGGGACTCAATTACTAGGGGTCACGATTTCAAGGTGAGAGAGGAAAAGTTTAAGGGAGATATGCGTGGAAAGTTCTTTACGCAGAGGGTGGTGGGTGCCTGGAACGCGTTGCCAGCGGAGGTGGTAGAGGCGGGCACGATAGCGTCATTTAAGATGTATCTAGACAGATACATGAATGGGCAGGGAGCCGAGGGATACTGATCCTTGGAAAATAGGCAACAGGTTTAGATAGAGGATCTGGATCAGCACAGGATTGGAGGGCGAAAGGGCCTGTTCCTGTGCTGTAATTTTCTTCGTTCTTTGTTTTGACAAGGGCAGCTAATGTATGGGAAAATCATAGTCTCCAAGTCACATATCACTGCAACTTGGAACTTCTTTAATAATTTTTTTCACATTATCGTTAGGTCAAAATCTGGCAATTTAATTCATAAAAGCATGGCAAGTGTAGCTAAACCACATGGAACTGCAATAGTTTAAGGTGGTGGCTCACGATCATCTTCGCAAGGTCAATCAGGTATGGGTAATAAATGCTGGCCTAGCCAGTGACACCCACATTCCATAAAAAAGTCAGTAAATTTACCAAGTTGGTGTTGGGATTGGCAGGTGAGGAACATCACAGATTTATTCCATGCTGCTGGATGGGTAGAGGTAGAGGTAGAGGTAGAGAGAGGGAGGGAGGGAAGAGAGAGGGAGGGAAGAGAGAGGGAGGGAAGAGAGAAGGAGGGAGCGCGACAGTAAGCGAGCGTGTGCACGGGCGTTGGGGGGGCACGCGAAATCAGCCGGTCATTCCTGCTCCAGATCATTATCCTGTGACGTGTGCTGGAAATATGAATGCGGCTGTCACGCCCGTCATACTCAACTAGATTGCTGGCAACACCATCATCACACTTACGAAATAATGACCATTTCGATGAGTACCAGAGGATACCCAATCCCAGTAAAGGGACTCAGGAAACAGCCAATACTTACAGTACAGGAGGAACAGGGAGAGTATTGAAGAAAAAGATAAAGTAAAATTGAAACTTACAAATATGCATCAGTAATTTACAAGCATTTGGCAGCTTTAGGATCTGAAAAACTTCTTAGAAATTAAGATTGTGGGAGTTGAAGCAAAGAAAATTTAAGACCAAACAGAATTCTGCTTAAAGAAAACATTTCAGGCACCCAATGTGTTTTTCTTCAAACTGAAATTAACAAAATTATTTTGCAGCCAAAATAATGAGCAAACAGTAAAACTGTCTTTCTCAAGCTTTAAAAAATAAATAGATGAGAAAAAGCTGCAATTATAGTTCTGCTGTAATGCTATCTAGCTGCAACACTTTTCTATGGATAACAGCTTAAATCATACATGGCCGTGGGTGTCAAAGGAAAACATTACATTCTCAAAAAGCACTAGCTGCAGTTCACACTCCCAATTCAAATTCTACCTTCAAGATCCGGCATTGGTTTCTACTCTCCCGAATTTGAAAGTACCACATGGTGCAGCTAGATTATTTAATTCTCTTTTACTTTAATATTTCATTAAGTGCAACACCTCCATTGATATCTTTCAACAACAGTCAAATTACGAAATTGGTAATTTCCAGTATAGGCCTGTAACAGTGAACTGTATTGTGAAGAAAAGATAGAGTCTAACAAGAATAAAACATCAGGGGTGTCCTAAAATGTTCTCTGCATCTCTAGTATAATAAATGAAACAAGAGTAGAAATGAAATGAATGTATCACAGTTAGAAAACCAAGCTAAATATCTGAAGATGGAGTTTTATTCCTTCTTTTTCAAAGTGGATTTTAAAATTCAATATTTGGAATTTACATCAAGCCATAAATATTCACAGTTATGATTGAATTGCAGCTATCAGTCTGACTGGTATGTGTTGGTAGCAAATATGCCATATACCAAGTTTTATACTGCCTACCATGTATTGTTGCACCCAGCATCAAAATCAGTGACAGAGAAACTCTATGCTTGGGGTTTAAATACATTTGCAAAATTCCATTTCAGACAAGTAGAATTATGGCTATGACAGCAAGGGCAGAACTACCAACCTACGAGAAATAAAATGGTCAAGTATTCATTGTGGCTGCTTACCTGCATAGACACTACACAGTTCAAACTAAAAGAAAGGCAGCCTCCTGAAGAGATTTTACACCTCCTTGTTTTAGTCTATGTGGAAGAAGGACCAGACCTCATGGTAATGTCTCAAGAATGTACTTTAAGAAGCCATCAAAATGGCAATATAACTGCATTCTAAACAATTCAGTCTTTAGCAGAGGTGGTGGCAAAAATGAAATAAAACATGTAACATCCTCATAGAATAATCAAAGAATCATTGCAAAACAATTGCAACAGTTCCAGACTATTGGCAACTTTATAAGCATTGCGACGTAGGCAATGAATGCACTCTTGAAAATATTCCTGACATCCGGAGGGGGAAAAAACGCTTTGTCATCAGTTTGGTTGGTGTAAAGTTGCATTTACTATTTTGTAATCAATTCAATTGTTTGAAATAATACCTGAAACTTGCTGTTCTACATTTCCTATTTTCTGGGCAATACATAACCATAAACTTTCTAACCTTACAGACCTATTGGTAATAAGCAATTTTACTGTAATCAAGGGAAAGAGTGCATTGAGGAAGAAGTAGTTTCTGTTCAATGTTTTTGGGTGAACAGATATCAATTTCAAATCAGTTAACATGCTTCAAGAATTCTAAATGCTGGTACTTACCTCTTGGCTGAGTTCCAAAGCAATCTGGTTGAGAAGGGAAGAGAAGAATCCTGCATTTTGCAATAGTACACGTCCTGCTATACCTAGGTACGTAGACATTACCACTGGATATTTCTGAAATACAAGAAAATGATACAAACACTTAAAATATTTAAAATAAGTAGACTTGTTAAAAAATTCAAAACATTTTAATTTGTCCATAGAACACTGGTGCTGCTGGCAGACCAGTGTTTATTGTCCATTTCTAATTGTAGTAAACCACATTGCTGTGGGTCTGGAGTCACATATAGGCCAGACCAGGTAAGGATGGCAGATTTCATTCTCTAAAGGGTATAAGCGAACAAGATGAGTTTTATGACAAGCAACTGTAGTTACATGATTGCCATGGTAGTTTTACACTCGGTTTTCATTCCAGATTTTTAAACGATTCAAGTTTCACCATTTACCATCTGGGCTTCAAACCCATGTTCTGAAAGCATCAGCCTGGGTTTCAGGATTACTGATCCAGTGATATTACCAAAATGTCACTATCTCCCCACTTACATTCTTCAAAACGTGCAGCTAAACTTAAATCAATTTTGAAGGTAAAACTTTCAATGCTCCTCATTGAATTGGAGGAAAAAAAGAAATCAAAGTATTTTAGTTTTGCGTAAAACAAGAAAACAGCTCAATTTTATTACAGTGGTCTGAATTGCATGTCTCCTGGTTTACTACAACCTATTTTAAATTATTTTACTTACAATGCTGAATGCTGCGAAATACTGTGAAACTGCAATTATGTTGTGAGCAGTTTTTTAATGAGAAATTTCTGCATTTCTTATCCAGTTTTCCAGTCACGTTTCAATAGCTAGTAAATACTGTATCTTTACTTTTTCTGTATTTTTGATTGTGGTTTAACATGGGAAGAAAATGTTTGAAGAACCAAGGATTGCTGCATATTTTAAAGCAAGTAACCCAACATTCATGGTAAGTACTGTTTATTCAGACAGTGGTGGAATCGAGTTTGTAGACGAGCTGAACCCAAGGCATATACATAAATGGAGATTTGGATGGTAACAAGTAGCTAATCAGTTTGTGAACTCATGACAAGTTATTGACAACACAGACCTTCGGCCAGTCAACAATTATGTGATTGGCTTCTAGGTTGCAGCGCAGCTTGGAGGTGTGAATATTTCAGCAGAAACCAGTGGACTCTGAAGAAGGAACTATCCCTTTTCTTTGCAGTAAAACGCCTTTCAAGCCTGAGGATATCTCATTCATTTCCCCTTTCCAGTTGTTATAAGCTGTGACTTCTAGTGGATAAGTCAAAAACCTTTATAAGTGGGAACCAATCATTATGTGTCTACCACAAAAAGGTAAAAGTACCTTAAGGAGGAAGATCAAGAAGCAGCATTCTAATCAGAAGAATCACCTCAGTAAACCTTGTTGGCAAGAATCACTGAACTCCCTTCCCATTTTTTCTCCTACTCCCATAATACCCAACTTAATTTTTCCGATCTATACGTATGCATATGCAAGCCTGTGTCTAGGCGGGGAGTTTATAGGCAGTTTACAGTTTTAAGAAATTGAATACTGCAAACATGTTTGTATCTCTATTTATAGGAGATAGCTGCTATCTAGTACTTGCTACAATTTAGGAGTTGGAAGATTTTTTTATATGTTGATGACACACATTAATCTTTTTCTATGTTTATCTATGCTTACAATCTATGTATTTGTAATAGCCATTCTTGTCAAATATTGAAACTTGGCTAGTGCTTTCTGTCAACATGAGAGGAATTTTGCACACTTTTATAAAATCTTTAACTTTGTGATGACTCCAGGAATAGTGGAGCTTGATTTCCAAAGGGTCATCCTAGTAAAGCGTAACACTGGAGCTAACTGATCAAACTTAAAATCCTCATTAAGCAACTTTATTGTAACTTATAACATGATAAATTGTAAAACTGTGCAAATTTTATAAAATCCAATAAAAATAATTCTTTTATAACAACAGAACATACCTATGGATGTGTCTCTGGAGACATGAAATCAGAATTTGGAAGTGTATTTTAATATGGAATGAAACAAATCAACCTTAATTGTCTTAAAAAGTTGCGATAAAAGTCAACAAGCTGTAAAAAAAAATATGCAATGCAAAATCCTCTAAAACAATGATACCTTAAGAAGATGTCTTGCACCTTCCCCAAGTCTTTTAGTGCTGCCATGCAATCACAGACCCCCAGGACTTTGTTTGCTTCAGAGTACTGACTGACTTTGATGAGCAGCCTTCCACATGACTGACATTGTATGATTTTCCTGGCTGCCTCTGATGGCCCTACAGGATCGACCATTGTCCACTCTTCACTGTAGTCAGGCTATTTCCTTAATCGTGTTTCGCTTGAGCAAAGGATTAACTCTGGATAAGCCTCTGGACTGTGTGAGGACTGTATCTGTGACTGACTGTATCGAGATTCCCTGATTGATAACAGTAACTCTCCCCTCTCCAATCCAGGTGAGGACTAGTTGGAAAGTGGGTGGGGGCAAGGCGATTTGTTGAATAAATATGTATTGCATTTCCTGTGTAGGCAGCTTTTAAGAGTCACATTTCACTGTGCCATATTGCAAGATATTTACCCCATTACTGGACAGCTAACTCCTGAGGAGCATTTCATGCAGCCTATCCATGGGTCTGCACAATATGGCAGTACTGCCATCCTTCGGGCTTTGGTTGAAACCCCAACGAACTAACAGGCATGGCAAGGCATGGATGCTGCGCACATACATGAAGCATAAAGTCACTGAGCTGTAAAAGAGCTTATCATCAGTCCGGAGATCAGCCTAGTCCAATCACTGAACTGCATGCCTATCCACATGTGTGAAATGTTCTTGCCTCAGCCTTTCAATGCTAGCTGTTGGTGCACCTTTTATGCAAGTTTATGTTTCTAAAATGTCTGGCAAATAGATCAGAACGGTGCATGAGGATCATGAGGGATTTGCAAAAGTCAGATACCAATGTCTGTGGAGTGAGAGAGGCTGGTGTTCATGGATCATGCTCTGAGATGTTGTTGTTTGTAAGGAGGCTCTTCACAGCCAACAGCCAGTTAAACTGCCAAGGACACCTCTGATTTCCATGTTGAAAATTCTCAACATGCAGTTTGCTTGGCATGTTTGCCAAGAGAGGAAGGTGCGTATTAATGAGGCAAAATGTGTATTAATAAGGCTTCAACAAGCAATAAACCCTGTTAAAAGGCAACGTGCTGCTGCTTAGGCATCTCACCAAAAGTCTCACAGTGACTCTGCCACAATTCTTGCCACGGCCTCTATAAAATTCAACCTTACATTTCTATTAAATTAAGAGCCCGTTTAATACATCATCTGTGAATTGTATTTCTAAATTCCTACCTCTCCATCCAAGATTCCTTTAAGGACGAATGGAAGAAGTGGTTGAAACATCTGAGGCCCTAGTACAGGATTCACCTTTAGGACATTTTCTACAACCTGCAAAAACAAAATTTGTCCACTAAGAAATAGTTAAAGTAATTCTAAATATTGCATCAAGTGCTAAATAAACTTTTCAAACTAAAATGAATTGTAATTTTTAAAACTTTGGTGAAGAGAAAATCAGAAAGGGTTTTGATGAAAATTTCATAAACATTACCATTATGTATCTAGAGATGCCAAAAAATATGCATTCAAACAAAGCATCAGACATGAATCTCCAAACACACTGTCTTATCACATTTGTAAATCCAGCTAATGCTTGCACAGTATATTAAAGGCAACTGAAAAGGGGATGTGAATTTATTTATGTCTCAGTTACACTTATCTAATAATTCAACGCAACAAAACATCTACATTTAAATCTGTCCCAATCAGGGCTTTTCTACCCATAAGTTTATCATTTCAGATTTGTTCAGTGAATTTAAAATCCATCACCTGCCATTTGTGGGAACTGAACCCTGACCCCAGTGTATTATCTCATGTCGCTGGATTACCAGTGGTATTACCACTATGTCATAATCTCCTGATATTCACAATGTCAACAAATTGTTGTGTTCTTCTAACAACAAATAAACTTCCCTTTTCCATCAATGTGCTTTACCATTGATGTATAATTTCCATTTGACAACCAAATATCCTACTGTTAAAATAGGATAATTCTAAACAAGTTACCCATGTATCTCATCTAACACATTCAACATTCACTCTCTGCACCGCTGATGCACAGTGGCAGCAGAGTGTACCACCTACAAGATGCACCACAGCAGCTCATTAAAGGCTTCTTACACAGCAACTTCCAACCCATGAATACTACCTACACCACTTGGATTGAGTGGTTCAAGGCAGCTCGTTACCACCTTCTCAAAGGCAATTAGGGATCGGCAGTAAATGCTGGCTAGTCACTGACATCCTTCAGGCTCTGGCTGAAGCCCCAATAAACTAACAGGCATGACAAGGCATGGATGCTGAGTGCACGACGGAATAAAACAAAAGCTGCTGAGAAATCAACATTGGTAGACTTAGACATGCCAACTCCTACAAACTGATGGCATACATCACAATTTCTAGGTAATATTATGCCCCTCACAACCTTGTAAATTGGCTTTGAAGTCTCAAGATTTTGTTGAATACCATTGTTGAAAGATCAGGTGAGACTAGTGAAACAATGAGAGGCTGTAGAAAGCTGCGTTCAAGAACCAACAACTACTGTAAAGATCAAGATGCAGCAAGAGAGATTTCAGATAGAAAATCTAACTCTTTCAAAAGAGGTCTGACCTGGTACAGGTTAAAAGGCCACTAATGCAATTTATAGGTGAAATATGTTAGTCTCCTTAATACGACCAAAATTAAAATGCAATGCAACAGGCTTTATTTAGTTTCTCATGCACGTGGTTATGGTAAAATTATCACCATCACTGACCAACCGTGGATGTTGGCTAGTACTTGTTTACCGGATACCATTTCTTCATCAAGGCAACTAAACCTTAAAAACATCAGCAGTCATGTCCAAGAAATTGTTGTATGTAATAGTGGAGAAGGCTGTAGAAATTTATTTTGTGTTATCTATATCACAGTACTGATTATTCATTTTAGGTCAAGGAAAACTTTAGATTTACCCAGTATTTTTATTGCAAACAAAACAGAAAAATTCTTTGTTTCTGACTTTCTCACACCATTTAAATTTTATTGCAAATAGCTCAAATTTCCACAAGCAAAGGGAAGAAATGCCAATTTACTTCATAATATCTAATATTAACACAAATTCATTTAAAAATACCTTGAGCAATGTAATACATCCCAATGGGACATCACAGGACAATTATACAACAACTGACACTAAGCAGAAAGAGACAATGCTAGGAGAAGTAATCAAAACCTTGGTCAAAGCGGTAAATTTCAAGAAGCATTTTATAGAAGAGATAAGCAGAGGTTTAGGGAGAGAATTGCTGAACAATATAAACTTGGCACACAATAATTTTCAGATTTTTAGGTCTAGATGGTAAATGGGACAGCCAGCAATGGTGGTAGTAAGGAAACAGGTGCTAGAGTTACTTGCCACTTGTCAAAAGGAGCTTGAATAATATCAGAGTCTTGTTGTACTGAGACATGACTGCTTCAGTCCCTGAGAAGTCAGGAATGGTGCTGAATATTATACAATTAGTGAACATCCCCGTTTTGATTTTATGACAGAGGATTTGGGCAGTAGGAATTTAGATGAGTTCAAGTTTGGGAGTTTGTGACTGTGCTGCTACTTCACCCTTCTAATATATATTTCCAACAATAAAACAAATAGAAAATCAGAGACAGAAGCAAAAACTGAAATTGCTGGAAAAACTCAGCAGGTCTGGCAGCATCTGTGGAGAGAAATCAGAGTTAATGTTTTGGATGCAGTGATCCTTCTTCAGACATGAAACGTTAGCTTTGATTTCTCTCCAGAGATGCTGCCAGACCTGCCGAGTTTTTCTAGCAATTTCTGTTGTTTTTTTCTGATTTCCAGCATCTGCAGTCCTTTTGGTTTTTAATTAGAAAATTAGTTTGTTTAACACATGCATTGCAGTAAACAAAAACTTCATTATTCTTTACTTTAGTAATCTCCCCTTTCTCAGCAACTTTGCTTTCATATTCAGTTGGATTTTGTAAGTACTAGTTTTGTTCTTCACACTTGTTTTTGTTCAAATTTTTCTTTACACACGATGTTTTGCCAAAAAGCGCCCCAGTCTGTCCACTCACATGCAACCTGACAGTGAGACTTGTCATTAAAACATTTCACAGAAAATGTACTCATTTCATTTCACCAGTTTTACAATATCAATTCTGGACTCTGATCCAATGGGTTGAAAATATTATTTCCATTTGTCAACAATATGCTGAGTTTTCCACTTCTGCCAATACCTTTGCTCTCTGTAGGATTTGTTATTCATGGAGGTGACATTGTGACACGTTTCAAATGTTAACAACATCATGCTGTGAAACACAGAATATCTGTAATTTGACAGGAAGAATACAATTTTGAAAACTGTACAGGCCATGTATTTAATAAGAATACATAATCATATTTAAGACTGAATGATCACTTAAGTAGATAATGTATGTTTGAGGATACATCAATTCTAGAGTAAATGAAGAGATCTGTAAAAAGCTACAACAATCAAGATGCTTCGATATATAGTCAGAGTCTAAGATTTAATAGAAATCATTGATCTAAATGGAAAATCTGAGGACAAGAGCCAAGGAATGTACTGTTAGATGTCATAAAGCCCCCCCCAAAAAATGCAGAAGTTGGAATAAATCATGAAGTTATGGTTAGATTATGCCAATTTTGGGTTTTCAAAGCCTGAAATAAAGTCTTAATCCTTAAATAAAGGAATAATTGGCAATCTAGCAGTGTGAGGTCCCTTGGGGAAGAGTGACCATAATGAAAAAGAATTCTTGATTAAGATAGAAAGTGACATATTGATTCTGAGCCTTAAGTCCTAAATCTAAATAAAGAAAACTATCTTGGTATGAGGTGCGAACTGGCTATGATAACTTGGGAACATTACTTAAAGGAAGATTGGTGAATAGACAACAGCAAGCATTTAAAAAGAGTACATGGAGGGACACAACAACTGTTCATTCCTGAAAATAAAACAGGGAAAAGGTGCACAGCCATGGCTAACAAGGGAAATTAGGGATAGTACTGGATTCAAGGAAGGGGTGTTCAAAGTGGCCAAAAAAATCTGCAGATCCAAGGAATGGAAGCAGTTTAGACTTTACGAAAGGAGGACAAAGGGTTTAAGGGGTGGGGGTGGACAAGTAGAGTATGAGTAAGCTTGCAGAGAACATACAAACTAATTGTAAAATATTCTATAGGTCTCCGGAAAAAACAGGCTTGATGGGGTGAATGGCCTACGCCTGTTCCTATGTTTCTAAAACAGTATTAACAGGGAAATTGGTGTTAGAGAAATTAATGGGATTAAAGGCCAATAAATCCCCAGGGTATGATAATCTATATCTCAGAGTAATTAAAGAAGTTGGCTTACAAATAGTGGATACATGGTGGTTATAATTCCAAATTCTATAGACTCTGGAACAGTTCCTACAGCATGTAGGATAGCTAATGTAACCCCACTATTTAAAAAGGTGGTAGAGAGAAAACAGGGAATTATAGACCAGTTTGCTTGACATGGGTAGTCAGGAAAATGCTTCAGTCTATTTTAAAAGAATAAGTAGGAGTGCACTTGGAAAGCAGTGACAGACCAGACAGAATCGGCATGGATTTAGGAAGGGGAAATCATGCTTGACAAATTAACAGTATATTTTTGAGGATGTAACTAGCATAGTTGATGAGGAGATGCCAGTGGATGTGGTTTACTTGGACTTTCGGAAGGTTTTCGATAAGGCTCCATGTAAGAGTTTAGCATGTAAAATTAAACATTCAGTGTACTGACACAGGTAGACAACTAGTTGGCAGACAGGAGACAAAGAGTAGGAATAAACAGGTCTTTTTTCAAATGACAGCCAGTGACTAATGGGGCAGCTCAGGAATCAGTGCTTGGACCCCAGCTATTTACAACATATATTAATGATTTAGATGAGGGAACTAAATGTGATACCTCCAAGTTTGCAGATGACACAAAGCTGGATGGGAGGGTGAACTGTGAGGAGGAGGAAGAGATGTTTCAACATAATTTGGACAAGTTGAGCTAGTGGACAAATACATGGCAGATGAACTATAATGTAGATAAATGTGAGATTACCCACGTTGGTAGGAAAAAAACAAGAAGGCAGATTATAGCCATTTAGATAATAAATTCCAAGGCGAACGTGTAACAAGACGTGAATATCCCCATATACCCGTCACTGAAAGTAAACATGCTGGTACAGCAGGTGGTAAAAGGCAGCAAATGGTTTCTTAACCAGCATACCAAGAAGATTTGAGCACAGGAGGCTGCATCTGGAGTATTTTGTGTAGTTTTGGTGTCTTTATCTGAGGAAGAATGTTCTGGCTATGGAGG